TAGGGGGCAGTAGATACGCTGCTGTGTGGTGACTCCGTGCCTTGAGGGCGGGTATGTCATTTGAAGCGCATGGAGATGGTCCATCATTTCCACTCAAGACCCTCTCAACCGACAGCGATGATAGACCTGTCGTTACCATGGATACTGGCAGCAAGGGAAAACGCATGAAGACCCATTACCATACACACACATTGACACATATGTAATTTGATTCAACGACTGCTGTGAGAAAATAACGTCCACTCTGTGGCTAACATCTGAATTGGCCTACTGGGCACTAATCGCATTATTTAACACCAGGAAACCTGCGAATGTTTACGGAAACTGCATTAATGAGACCGGCTGGTCTCGAGTGGCACAGATCCAGAATAAAACATGAAACCAGCTGGCACAACCACAAGTGCTGGAATTAACCAGCACTAAATGACAAGAACCGCAAACAGAAAGACGAACCTGTTGGTTGTTGCAGCCTGATACTTGAGAAATTGTAGCATATTGATAAATATAATTATGTAATTTACATCATAATGATGTTAATCAAAAGCATTTACATATATATTAAGTCAAAGTCTAAAATCATCGTGAAAGAACAGATACATTTTAAAACGTTTTTTTTTTGTAAAGATGGATTAGATTGAACATGGAAAATTAAACAACTTAATTATAATTACACAATATATGTTATAGACATTATATCAATTTATATATTAAGTAAATTGTTACTTTCAAGATTAATAAATATATATTAAATAGGATAACTAGGAATTAAATTATATATTAAATATAATTAAAAAATAATGTTTTTAATTTTAAATGTAAATATTTGTATTAAGATAAAGGTCAAGTTAAAAATTGTAAATGAAAGAATAAACAGGTTTAAAATAAAAAATATATATTTTATAATAAATATATTTGTATTAAGACAAGTCAACTTTAAAACTGAATGAAAGAACAATGAATAAATAAGTATATATATATATATATAATATTTTAATTTCTTTACATTAAACTTTTATTTCTTACATAAAATCTTATTTATTCTTTTATTATTGCTTGATGTTTGTTTTTATTTCTGTTTCTTTATATTGCTCCTCTAAAGCACTTTGAATAATCACTGTAAATAAAATGCACTTTATAAATAAACATGATCTCAGTCCACTGCATTTACAGAAACAACACAGGACATAAGAGGCATTATTGCACGCTACAAAAACAATACCAACACAAACAAGCGGGGACAAGGGATGAGAAAAACGATATGATTACTAAGACAGCTGCCGTGGGGCTGCAGGGTCCCGTGCTGCGGTAAATGAGTTGTTTTGGTCGTGCGGCACGTTCTTCATATGAACCCATGCACTAAGGTTGGTTAGACGCACAGGACCTCACCTTCCTCGACTGCCTCAGAGCCGAGAACAACTCTGCTGTGCTGCAAAACACTGAAATTGAAATGATAAACAGCATGACTCATACACCAACCGTTCACCTTCATAACATTTATGAAAACATGATGCTGTTTTTATTATTACAAATGCAAAATTATTGGAATCAGAGAATTAAGTAGTTATATTTTCGTACCCGCACTATAGCCTACACTTGACGTGGTATATTGCTAACATGTATAATTTATTTGTTGTTTGTCTACGAATGCTAAAATTCAAATTAGATATTTAAAAATGTATTTGAATCTTCCTCCTCGTCTTTCTAGAGGCAGAGATCCAGAGGATCTGCAGTGCTGACGGCATTTTCAACAGTTA